AGCAAGCTGCTATCAAATGAGAGCATGGATACTTCAGAGCTTGAAAAAACCCGTAGTCGCACGTTCTGTCCCTTAGATTTACTCTTAATGACACAACTTCAATCCCTTGAAGAGGTCGTGACAACTCTGTGACACGAAACATTTCATGCCTTCTAGAGAAGCTTGTTACAAACATTTCATTTGATGCAACAATTTTTTCTGTAGATCTGTAACTAATCTAGGGTGATAGACATGACCGCCTTGCATCCAGGTTTGAGCTTGTCCCCCGAGCTTCGCAAAAAGTACCCCCAAACGAAAATATGTAGTCTTTACCAAAGCCGCTACTGGTAAGTGACGTACACCCTTTAAAGTTGAATTGATTGCCTCTGCCAAGTTGGTCGTCATGTGTCCATATCGATATCCACCATCATATGCGTTCGTCCACATTTCTTTATCGATGAGCCTGATGTAATCGTATCCTTCCTCGTTCTTCGCCTGCAAATCTTGAAGCATTAATTCAGATGTTCGAGGAAGTAGTTCATAACCTGATCAAAAATGTATAACTTACTAACTGGTTATCTTTGCAAAATTAAAACGATTGAAAGAAAAAAAACTACATCAGTTTCACTTACCCATGCAAACAATTAATTGACGCTCATCATTCTTCTTGTACCTTCCATGATAGTTCGCAACAATGTGTCGGAGACAATACCTATGTTGGACAAAGGGTGGTTGCCATATTGGACCCAATAATAAAACTTGCTTGTATTTTCCATACAAGAAAGTCCCGTCAATTTGAACCACATGCTTGCAGTATTTGGCAGCATTAACGCACTGTGGGTAACTCCAAAAAACTCGGTAGAATTGGCTTCGATCGTGAAGAACTCGATCATTATGGTATGCATAGGAGGTTTTGAAGTCCACAATTGTCCTAGGATTCAACGTCTGCACCAGCCTAAACCAACCTGGAAGTTCGTTGTAAGATGCATCCCATTCGCCATGAAGTTTGACAATGGCATTTTGTTTTGTCAACCAAGCTTTTTTATAGGAGACAGTGTACCCATACTGCGATTGTATAGCTGAAATCAATACTGCAACAGCTATATGAGAGCTTGTTTTTACCATGGGCATGATGGCTTGGCATATCATTTCAGAGTCCAAGTTGGGATGATCTTCATTGACCCCTCCAGCACAACATGTGTGAGGACCGTTGTATACTGTTAGTTCTCATATGTTGTTCTTCCTCTTCATTTTCGATACGCGAACCATCCAATTGCATCCGTTTTCACGTCGGGCACAATAGTATACATATTTTTCTGTCGTCGATCGATTGACTCTGCACTGAACAGAATTACGGATATTGTAATTTTTTATAGCCATCACCGCTTCTTCTTTGCTTGAAAAATCCATGCCTAAATATAACTCACCATTATTTATTGATGAGTAATATCCATAGTCACCGAGATGAGGCATATCCGCAAATTCTGGCCCGTACATTGCACTATAATCAGCTTCATACATGTGTGCAGGAAGGTCAGTTTGTGCCACATTTCCTGGAACTTCATCATCATCGGAGTTGAATTGCGGTGATTCTAGGTGAATGAATAGTCCAGTCTCAGCATCATCCGCACCAGGCTCACGAAGCGGTTCTTCTGGTGGAGATGATGGTTCCTCCATGCTCTCTACATTTAGGTAGAATAACCTACTACTTGCACGTCTTCCCCTTGAACTGGAAGGCATATCGACATTGAGATCGAAAAAGCTCGCAGTCGAATGCCTCCCCCTGGAGCTTGAAGCCATAGTGTCAAATGGAAACTGCACAGATGGTTGTGTCGATGGCATCTCCATATGGTCAAAGAAATTTGCAGATGAATGCCTTCCCCTTGAACTGGACGCGGTGTTGCCATACAGATTGTTCATGGACCCACCTCGGTACATATCGTAAGGAGTTACGGATGAACGTCTCCCTATTATGGCATTAAAATCATTACACATTATTGTAGTCGGGCTGTCAACTTGTTCAGCCAGCCTATAGTGGGAGCTTAAAGATTGACCCCAAACACCACACACTTGAACAAAATGTGTATACATCTCAATAGCGGCGTCTGAATAATTACTTTGAGCTTCAACCATCATTTGAACATCATCAGTGTTCGAAAGTTCAAATGCTATATAAGTTAATGACAACAATGATGTTGGAAATCTGAACTGCAACGACGACATTCTTCTACTACTTCCAACATGAATCTTCCTCGAAATCTTCGTTATCAGCTCCTCAAGAGTTATATTTCTCTTGAATGATATTTTAACACGCTCATTTGATACGAAAACAACGTCGGTTTTATCTTCTCGAATTTCACCATCATAATAAACAATAGCTGAAAGTCGCGCCATTCTTTGAGTTTAAAAGTGCGACAATATTATATCTGCAAAAAAAAAATAACTGAAACAAACCTGATTAAATAAATTATATATGAACGAAAATATAACACAATAAATTTTTTACACATCAACGTAAATAATTTAAATAATATAATTTTACTATACCGCAAAACTATTTTGACCTATGCTCCTGCTTTTCAATTTTACAAACACAAAAATTAATTGAAAATAATTAGTATAATATTTTTTCAAATAATCATAATAAACAATAAGTATAATAAAAAAAATTATAACAAAATTTATAACGAAAAATCGCACGAACTTCTAAATCAAATATGAGAAAATTACCAGAATTATTACTCGTTGACAGAATTGTTGTATTAATTTATAAGTTAGAGGAGAGAGATGTGAGGAGATGTGAGAAACTTAACGGGGAGCGAAGGGTATTTATAACCATATAAGGCGCAGTACCTGCACCGCGTTATATGTAATTATTCAGATAAAGGTATAGCGCGGTCCGCGCTAAATATAATTCATACTCAGGTATAACGCTGAGCAAGGACAGTGCTATACCCCTACGTGGCCTATAGCGCGGATCAGAGGCCGCGTTATACCCACGTGTAAACCATGTCAGCGTATAGCGCGGTACAGGGGGCGCGCTATACCCCACGTGACACCAAATCAGCATATAGCGCGGGGCAGGGAGCGCGTTTTATTGCTACGGGTGTTAGATCGAGAAATATAATCTAACCGGTGTTAGATCAATAAATATACCGATCACCGGTGATTTTTCAGAAAAAACGCATACTTTAATAGCCATTACTTGAATTATAAATATATATAACATTAATTAAGACAGATCGAGTATAATTTATTAAAAAAGTAAAACTCTTAATAAATTTTAACATATTAAAACTTATGAGACACTGTTTCTTTTATTTTTAATATTATATCAAAATTCTAAAGAATTATTCTAGAAATTATATTAAAATTAAATTTTTTTTAAAAAAAGATTAATTTACTATTTCTTTCCTTAAGACTTTTATGTAGAACATTAATTTTTTTATCTTGAAATGATATTAAATTTTATTGAAACAAAAGAAGATGCAAATGCAATTAATCATAGAGAAAATTTTATGGACCATCTCTGTTAAAAAAATCAAACATAAAATAAAATAAAAAAGAAAATCCAATAGTGTAATAATAGAATGTTAAATTTGAAATACATCGTCCATAGTAACACAGTAATCATTAGTAGTACTCTTTTGTTTTTTTATATAACTATACGTCTTAGATATGATTGACAACCGTAAATTAAGTACAAGTGAGAATCTCTACACGATTGTATATTTGCTATATAAGTAGACAGACAACGTTTCATAAGGTAGAAAAACGTATCAAAAAGATAAACAAATATGCAAAAAATATAAAGCCATTTAAAAGAATTTTTTATTAAAAACTAGAGCAGAAACCAAATAAAATAACAAATTAAAATATAATATAAAAGAAATAATAAAGATGAACACCGACTATTATCACTGAAACTAATGTTGCCATAATAAAATCAAAAGAAAAAGAAAATATGAAATGAATGCCTCTGAGATTGGTCATGATATATATAGGATGGACATAGGTCATGTTTGAGTCAGGTTTCGGTCAATCATAATCAATTCGAAAATTTTACATCCTTCACTTGACCTGAATCTGATCCGGTTTTTTGAAATGAAATTTGATCTGAACCCGACCTAACCCGAAATAATAAATAATATTATTTTTATTCAATCAAAACAGTGATTTAATTAAAAAAATAATATATATAGTTGTATTATTGTAATTATTCATAAATATATAAGATCAAATTATATTTTTTCGGTTCAGCTCGGGTCGAATATTTTTTCACCCTAAACCTGAATCCTACCTAACCTGAACATTACCTTTAAAAACTCGACCCCACCCGAACTTAATTTTTTAATAAAAAAACCTAATCCGATAAAATCGAAACCGGTCGAATTCGGTCCACGCCCATCCCTAGATATATCACTGAAACTTTCGAAAACTTATTTTTAACCACATAACCATTCAAAAGCAGGTTGAGATGTCTTAGTAATATCTCTGTACCCGTTTAATTAAGGGTAAACTATACAAATGGCTACTAATGTTTGAGTAAATTTTCGTTCTCACCATTGATGTTTCAAAAGTCACAAATCAGTCACTAACGTTATCGTTTGTTACAAATTGATCACTCGACGTTAACCACCGTTAATAGGCGTGACGGAAAACACACGTGGACCGTTGTATGCTTGCCTGGATGGTTGACTGCCACAATGGAGGAAATCAAGGTTTAATAATAAATTTGTTTATTTGTAGCTTTTCAAACATACCATCTTCACTTTTGTTCTTCTGTTCTATTTTATGACCAAGCTCAACAATGGAAACAATCCAACTCAAACCAGCTTTCAACAATGACAGCCATAAGACCAAACTAGCAAGAACTTTTCAAAGAATCGTCAACCTGAGAACCGCCACAAAAATTGCTTAAAGCAATGGGATTGGTAATGGCTCCGATGTTAACCGAAGAGGTGCTGCCTTGGAAGCTATGGTGGTCACGGCGGCTCCGTTATCTTTTAATCGTTTGTGTCCTCAGGAAGCACATCCTGAAGGTGATCCCGAACTTCTGGATGATTCTGAATTTTACCAACAGTTGCTTAAGGAATTTTTTGAGACCGTTGACCCAACATCATCTGGTAAGTAGTCTCTACCATCTTTCAATTTTTTCTTGCATTATGAAGAAACATTTCATTTTCCTTGAACAACGTTACTACTGTTTGGCCACAGAGACAGCCTTTTATGCCTTAAAAAGACTGCAAACTAAGAAGAGAAAAATAGTTGATCGTCGTGCATCGAAGAGTCGAAAGATCAGATAATTTCTCAAGTGTGATTGGATTGGCACCTTGTAATATCAAGCCGAGTTAATCTAAGTGCAGTTCTTAATGTTGGACATTTTGTGTTAAATAACATTTTTTTTCAGGTACCATGTTCACGAGAAGACAATAAACTTCATGGCACCTGAGCCCATGAAACTTCCTCCCACGGCTGCAAAATTATTTGAGAACTTGATTGGATTGAAAACCCAATAACCTAATGCTCTGACATCTGATCCTTTTTACCAGGCATTTGGAATTTTGTAGTATTACTTCGTTTTAGCTATTTAACGAGTAAAATGTATAATTATTCCCCCCCCCCCCAACAAAGTCCAATGAAAGGGGTTCTAGCATCATGCAATTTTTTTTAATTAATTTAGGATATAAAGGAATAACAATAATTCTTTTACCATCGAGATAAAAGAATAACAATTTTAATTAATTTAGGATATTAAGGAATAACAATAATTCTTTTACCATCGAGATAAAAGAATAACAATAATAGAATTATTATCAAGATAAATGAATAACAATAATTCTTTTATTATCGAGGTGAATTGGTTAATGTGACTTTGAATATTAGATTTTCATTTCTTATTTAACCTAACACACATGCTTTTCACTTCTTATTTGTGTACTTCGGCTCGATATCATCGTTATTATATTGATGGCTTAAACATGGGCTAATTAAAGGGGTGGCAAACGTGTCATTGATATTGGGATTGGGTTTAATTCAGGTCATTTCATATCATTTTGGGTTTAGACTTAATTTAGATTGAGGTTGGGTTAGGTCGAGTCATTTCGTAATTTGGGTTTGGTTTGGTTTATAGTAAGTTGGGTCAGGTTCGAGTTGGGTTGAGTCATTTCAGGTTATGATTTTATTTGAATCTATAGTAAACCGAATCGGTTTAGATATTGGGTTGGGTCAATATTAGATCGGTTGATTTTCGAGTGGGTCAATATCGATTAATCATTTTCAGTTTGGGTCAACTTTAGATCTTCGGGTCAAAATGGGTTGAGTAGGGCATGAGTAAAATCAATTATATATAATATATATAAACATGTTTTTTTTAATTTTATCATTTGTGTTCAATTTCATTTAGATCTAATTATCATTTAGGATTATAATTTAACCCAAACTTGACCTATAAGATAGGTTAGAATTTGCGATATTTTTTATTGATTCCAGTTGAAAAGTTTGTGGTACAATCTATTTGATTAAAAAAATAAAATTTTTTAATTATAAATTTTATTATCAATTAAAATTTTAAACTAGATGCTTAACATTCAATTATAAATATAGTATATTTTTAAATTTAAAAGTATATACTATTTATATTTGAATAAATAATATTTTAAATTTATTTATAAATGATGTTATATTATAAATCATTGATAATATTTTAATTTTTAATTATAAATAAAAATAGATATCTTTATATTGTAAAAATAATTTATTTGTGTAGTGTAAAATAAGTTATTTTTATATTAAATTTAAATAACTGTATTTTTATATACGAAGGAAATAAAATAATTTATAAATTAATTTAATAGTTTTGAAAAGTTATTTCAGTAGTTCCAAAGTAAAATATTCAATTAATTATTCATAATTTGATTTAAATAAATTGAAAATCAGTTTAATAATTTTGAATGTAATAGAATTCAAAATGAATTATTGAATTAATAAATTATTATTTAGATGGTTTAAAGAATAATTGCATATTTTTATTCATTAATTAATGGAATCTAAAATATATATTAAATTAATAAATTATTAATAAAATAAAAAAAATTAAATAAAGTTTAACATAAATTCTGAGATGATAAAGCTATTATTATTTTACAGAATGAGAATTATATTATATAAAAATATTTAATGGAGAAAAATTAAATCTATCATAATTATTAATTAATTAATGAATTAGTTATAGATGAAAGTTAATTTAGATTTATCTAATTCTTAGATATTTAATTAAGTATATGAATTTTAAATTTAGATGTTTAATTAATATATATATATATACTTGGATTTTATCTTACTAGTTTATTACTTAACACATTGTTAAAAATAGATAATAATAAAAATAAAATATTTATACACTTTAACTCAATTATAGGGTTAAAATAATATCATTATTTGGTTTAGATCAAGGTTGAATAAATTAATTTCGGGTTACTTTTGATTCGGATTATTTTTCGGTTTGGTAGCTTTCGATTCGAGTTGCTTTTGGTTTGTTCAGTTTAGGATACTTATGGTTCAAGTTACTTCCAATTTGGCTAAAATTCGGGTTAGTTTCGATTCGGTTCAGATTACTTTCAATTCAATTTACTTTTGGTTTGACTAAAATTCGGGTCGGTTTCAGTTCGATTCGTTTTTTTCAAATTTTTGGGTCAAATTTAGATCATCGTGAGTCTATTTTAGATCTAGATTTTAGAAAACCAATTTAGATAATCAGATTCTGGTCAAATTAGTCAAGCTCTACCTAATTAGGAGCAACATGGTGATTAATTAAGTTACATCTCAGTATCTAGGGCTACTTGCATGCATGCCTGATGAAATTAATTATAATTATTAGTTAAGGTACCGATGCTTAATCTTATCCTATATCTACTCAGATCTGGATCTCAATTTCCTCAACATAATCTCTTCTTTTATTATTTTTTTGCTTTCCACGGTAAACGACATGATATAATATGGGTTATTCTGATATAATATTAATTAAAAAATATTTTCACAGATACTGTTGAAATATTATCAAATATCTCATTATTTATAGATTGTTATAAGGTGTATAGAATCATAGATAATGATTTTTTCCTTAAAACGAGGTTCAAATATCTCATTATTTATAGACTATTATTTAGGGGGAAAACTCTTTTTAATAGAAAATTGCTAGTTTTATTAAAGATAGAAAATATCCAGAATTACAATGAAGATATACGAATATAATTATAGTAAACTAAATTATAATTAGAACATTTTAGTACAATGAACATTTTAGTATAATTAAAGAGATAAAAATATTGAAAGAACACCGAAAAATAGTAAATTAGAGTCAAGCGACTTGAGAAAACTACCCACGAGCGCAAAACGTGTATCCAAATCAACCGATGATCCAAAGTAGGGAATATCAACATGATAACAAATAAGCCCAATCTTGATCAGTCGTATCGATATTAAATCTAATCTTGAAAAAAGGATAAAGGAAAACAACAGTCAAATAATAAAAAAACTAGAGAAAAATGTATCACAAAGATAGAGATAAACGTGTCATAAAGACAGTAATAAACATATCACAAAGATAAAATTATTTTTATTAAAAACTAAAAAAATAAAAAAAAAGACAACTGACGATCGACAACAATATTAAAATCAATACCGCCGCTGGTTAAACAAAATCAAACAAAAAAAATTGTTTTGATCCATAGGAATTTACGCAAGTTGTAGAGAAAAAAGAAAGAGTAAAAGAGGGAGGGGAGAGAAACAATAAATCTAAATGCCGTATTTTGTAAATAGAAAATTGAAAAAAAAAGATACACATTTTTGAAGAAGAAAACGTAGTAAATATTTGAAGTCAAAAGATGACAGATTCTGGAATTTAAATGAAAAAAAGTTACTACCAGATGATCATCTTTATTACAAGAGAATCGTTAATGGCCAATTCTCCTGCATATCAAAACAAAGGTTTAGCTATACCTATACAACAAAACATTTAGGTGGCGTTTGGTTCGCTAGAATGTTTATGAAGGAATTGAAATCTGTGAAGGAATTGGAATATGTAGGAATTGGAATCTATAGGAATTAGAATCCAATTCCATATTCTGTTTGGTTGGTATAAAATGGAATTGAAATCCAATTCCATATTCTGTTTGGTTCGTAGACATATCAGATGAATTTGATTTCAGTAATGTAAAATGACATAATTGTCTTTCTTATTTTTTTGCTTTATTTTAGTTTATTTTACAACTTACATGTAGTAATATATTATAAAAAATTAAAAAAATATTAAAATTTCATTTTACTTATTGATTATTCATTTCAATAAATTATAAAAATCATGCTAATAAACATTATAAGTTAAAATCATTGCAATCAAAATATGTTAATAAGTTACTAAAAGATAGAACAATATTTCAATACATTACAATCAGAGTATGTTAATTAGTTACCAAAAAATATACAAAAAACTATTTTTATTCAATATATGAATTAGAAATTCGACCCGACACGACTCAAAATAATAAAAAAATTATTTTTATTCAATAAAAACATTGACTTAATTGAAAAAAAAATTATATATAGAGGGGTATTATTGTAATTATTCCTAAATATATAAGGTAAGATTATATATTTTTTCGGGTCGGTCCGGTTTTTTACCCTAAACCCGAACCCGACCCGATTATCACACTTAAAAAAACCTGACCCGACCCAAATATCACACTTAAAAAACCCGACCCGACCCAAACAAAATAAAGTTTCATCCGACCCGACCCAAATATATGAATTAGAAATCCGACCCGAAATAAAAAAATTATTTTTATTTAATAAAAATAGTGACTTAATCCGACCAGACCCGAATTATATATATTTTAGTGTCGATCTGGTTTTTTTCACCCTAAACCCGAACCAGACCCGAACTGACCCGAATATCACACTTAAAAAAACCTGTTGAGTTAATCGATTGACGGAATCGGCCAAGAGGGGGTGAATTGGCAATTAAAAATTTGGTGGAAGCTTTTTCAGAAAATTGAAAGTAATTGCACAGCGATTTAGAGTGGTTCGACTTTCTCAACCAAAGTCTAAGTCTACTACCTTAGCTATCCACACTAAGGATTTTCCACAAATTCACTAATTTGTCTTTCTTTTGAGGACAAAGAGTAACCTTACAAACCCTCAAGAATTATACCCCAAATTCTTGAGAACACTCTCTCCCAAAGAGAACAATACAAATTTGCA